TTGGCGCACACGCCCGGCGTACATCAGCATCTGGCTTATCTCGATGTACGTCTGCATCTGGGTGATCTGGCTTGTCCCGACGTATCGTACATCCGCATCTGGCTTGTCTCGACTTACGTCTGCATCTGGGTGATCTGGCTTGTCCCAACATACCATACGTCCGCATCTGGCTTGTCTCGACTTACGTCTGCATCTGGGTGATCTGGCTTGTCCCGACATACCATACGTCCGCATCTGGCTTGTCTCGACTTACGTCTGCATCTGGGTGATCTGGCTTGTCCCGACATACCANTGTTTGTTATAATATGTTATGTTATAATGTAATGTCATGTTAGGGTGTGTTATAATGTGTTGTATAGTGATATGTTGTGATGAGTGCAGTGCTGTTGTGCAGTGATATTTTGTGTTGCAATGTGTTGTGTTGTTAATACCATATTGTTAGTGTTACCATATTTTGTGTTATTCGCTTGTGTCGATCATTAAGCATCGGCCACTTTGATTGCAGAGAGCGCGCATCAGTGTTGATCATTGGGCATCAGCTAAACTGACTGTAAATCGCGTGCGCTTGTGTCGATCATTAGGCATCGGCCACTTTGATTGCAAAGAGCACGCATCTGTGTTGATCATTGGGCATTGGCTAAACAGATCGTAAATCGCGTGCGCTTGTGTTGATCACTAGGCATCTTCCACTTTGATCGCAAAGAGAGCGCATCAGTATTGATCATTGGGCATCTGCTAAACCGATCATAAATCGCATGCGCTTGTGTCGATCACTGGGCATCGGCCACTTTGATCGCAGAGAGCGCGCTTCTGTGTTGATCATTGGGTATTGGCTAAACCGATCGTAAATTGCATGCGCTTGTGTCGATCCTTAGGCATCGGCCACTTTGATCGCAGAGAGCGCGCTTCTGTGTTGATCATTGGGCATCGGCTAAACCGATCGTAAATCGCGCATGCTTGTATCAATCATTAGGCATCTTCCACTTTGATCGCAAAGAGCGCGCATCAGTATTGATCATTGGGCATTGGCTAAAACGATCGTAAATTGCGTGCGCTTGTGTCAATCATTAGGCATCGGCCATTTTGATTGCAGAGAGCGCGCTTCTGTGTTGATCATTGGGCATTGGCTAAACAGATCGTAAATCGCGTGCGCTTGTGTCGATCACTAGGCATCTTCCACTTTGATCGCAAAGAGAGCGCATCAGTATTGATCATTGGGCATCTGCTAAACCGATCATAAATTGCGTGCGCTTGTGTCGATCATTAGGCATCAGCCACTTTGATCGCAAAGAGCGCGCATTGGTAGTGTTGATCATTGGGCATTGGCTATATAGATCGTAAAGCACGTGTGTTTGTGACGATCGCCAGGCATCAATCGTATGTGTGCCTGTGTCGATCATGCAGCATTGGCGAGGGTTACACTTCCGTTTTTAGCAAGCATATTGGCAACTTTCTTCCCTGGCGTACTGGCGTGCATCCCAAAACGAACCTCCGGCGTACATGCTGCACCTTCCTGACCATGGGCGTAGTGCAATGTTTTTAGAGTGACATAAAGCAAACAGATGGCGAGTTGCGCGTACGGTGTATTTTTTATAGCCATTCATATTTTGCTATGCCCTTAAAGTGTCAGAATATACTGCGTTTACCCTAAATGATGCCATTTTTTACTAGCTAAATTAAACTTAAATTGAAACATGCAAAATACAGGTCTATACTCTAGGTTCACTCACCATAAATTGCTGGCTCCTGCTTTTCATAGTTTTGATGTAATTTGAAAAAAAGTAATGGTCTTAGTTACCCCAGGCTCCAGCTCTTGGGGTATCTTAGACTGGGTGGTAAAATCAATTATATTTTTAAGTAAAATAACTCCAGGTTTTGATGCATTGTAGTACGTAGAACTTTTCTAGTTACATATGCAAATGACAAATTTGAGGAAAGTGTCATAGTATGCAAATGGGGGGCACTGCCCCCAAATGGGGAAACTTAGACCACCTAATGTCAGCCATGATGGGGTAATATTGACCGGCTTGGAAATTAAGGTAAAATTACCATATATAAGAACCTGTAGAGTCTGAAACATAAAAAAACATTAATAGGTGTATCAAACATAAAATATGTTATGTATTGTAATTTTAAATTAATTTCCAAGCCAGTCTATGTTACCCCATCAGGGCTGACATTAGGTGGTCTAAGTTCTCCCATTCAGGGATGGGGCCCCCCATTTGCAAACTAAGACACTTTCCTCAAATTTGTCATTTGCATGTGTAACTAGAAGAGTTCTACTACAATGCATCAAAACCTGGAGTTATTTTACCAAAAAAATTAAAAAATTGAAGGAGTACCCAGACAGGCTTTAAATAATAGCTCTTTTTTGTGGGTCACATTTGTAACTTTTTAGCCTATTAGATATGCAAACTTTTTAAATCTTTCTATTGTGTTACATAGCCTCAGTATTAGGCCTTTAATGCCATTGACAAAATTTTTCTATGTCAAATAGTTTTTGAGTTTTGGGGGTTTTTGTTAAAAAAACTAAAAGTGGTTGAAGTTACCCTGGGAGTCTAAGTAATCCCATTTACGGTACTTGTTCTATAGTTTGAAAAATGGCAGCTAAAATATTTAATTTTTTATGTAAAACACTTAAGCAGGGAACATTGTTGGCTCCATGCCTCCATTCTTTATTTTAGGGTAAACACACCATATTCCGACACTTTAAGGACTAGCAAGAATTGAATGGCTATAAAAAGATCACCATATGCACAACTCGAGTTCTGATTGCTTTGCGTCACTCTCAAAACACCACACTATGCGCCAGCTGATGAAACATCACAAACTGTTGCCATATTTATTTAAATGTCTTTGGAATTCAAATCTACAAAATTGCTGAATTCCGACACTGTGTGTGACTAAATTTGGCATATTGTGAGACTAATTCTGACAGCGCTTCAAACTCTTACTAATTCGGAATTCCAACTCCCTGTGTTGGAATTCCAATGCCCTGTCTGAGCTGTATTGGAATAGGACACAGCTCAGAATGAGCTTAATTAAAAAATATTAATTTTTTAATTAAGCTTTTAATTAAGAGCTATTAAGCTTTTAATTAAGAAAATTTTAATTTTTGAACACAGCTCGGAACAAGCTGTGTGTGTCCCATTCCAAGCTATGTCAGAATTAGTTTTTATGGGTCTAAAACCGTCTCTTAACTTAATCACCTATTAATTTATTTACCATTTAAAATCAGCAAATACAAGTATTTATAATATACCGTATATACTTAAAGGATTCCAATTATATTCACAGACTTATTTAAAAGTCTCAAACCATTATGTTCTTTCTACACAAACAGTTTATCACTATTTGGTAGAGCAAGGTCAACTATCAACTTTGACACGTGTTTCAATGTTCTCACTGGGTGACGTGGACTTTGGCTCTGAGGATCTTAACATTTTCCCGCCAGACCTAGTGTTTTGCAGAAATCTGGCCAATTCTGGCGCGCAATAGTAGGACATCACTATTTCAACCATCTACGCATGCGTGAAACTAAGACAAAGCTTAATATAAAGGAAATGGTTGAGAAGTGTCAGAATTACCCATGATGTTGGAATATGGTGCGTTTATCCTACATACGTAGTAAGGTTGTCATGAAACTTTCTGATCATAAAATATGCTGCAAGGAGTCAATGGCCTACACAGCAGGGCTGGAAAAGTCCTACTTTTTTCTGAAATATTGCAGCTCCAATATTGTATAATTTCAGTAGGTACAAAAACTCATGGCTTTAATGTTGAGCATCTTTGTTTGATTGAAAAAATTGCAGTTTGCACTTTGCAAACTTGTCGCTTCATAAAATTTTCAACTTCCACAATTGGCAGTTCTTCGATGCTTCAGCCAAAATTTCCTGCAGAACGTAATAACAAGTTAACTAGAAACGTTTCCTTGAAGATCACGTAGTTGCAGACTGCAGTCACGTCAGAGCGGACAGACTTCATTATGACGTGTTCAGTTGCCACTTAAGTGAAGATTGTTGTACTAAAGTGAAAGCAAATGTTAGTATTGCTGTTTGACTGTTTTAGGGCAAAATTAGAGATTTGGGGTAACACATGCAGGGGACTTTGTAAATAAGTTTACGGCTTGTAAATGGTTTTTCATGGCCAAGATACGGAATTCACGGCTCTAAGAAATGGACTCATGGCTCAAAGAAATGGAATCATGGCTGGCAAACCCATAAAACCTCAGCTTGAAAAATCCAGTTGCAACTTGCCAAGTAGATAGATTCCATGCCTGCCACACAGTTTGCAAGAAACAATCTCAATCTTTTTAATTAGTGCAGTACATCTATCAGAATGATACTGTTAATTTCACGCCTCTACTTGATATGAGCCTCCACTATTTCCTCATTCCTTTGTTGAAACATCTGGGCCTCACATGATGATGCTGGGGCCAGTCACATGAGTGATGTTCTCTTGTGTTTACTCATGTCAGTCATGTGGTTGATGCATTACGTATACTAACTGAAATAGTTTATGGCTGTTCACTTATAAAATTGTGTAATTTCAGTGAATCAGTTTTCAAGCAAGTTTTAAGTTACAAGTAGTTCAGTATTGTGCTCCTGTCATATATAGGAAGGTATATCTGCATCCAAATTGTTTTTGCTTATATTTATGTAGGTGCAGTAAAATCAAAGAGCTTGCTAACAGCAAAGAAACTAGAATTTATATATAAATTTGTGAAAAAGAATGAATTATATGCATTTGTAATGCATTAAGTTGCCTAACATGTATAATGTTCTATCATAGTAGCATTGCTATTGCAAAGTTTTGTTAAGGTGTTTTTTAAATTACAAAATGCTATATATATTAAATCTGGTATTAAAACAGTATTTGAGGAATCTTTCTATCTGGGTTTGTAAAATTTGTCTTGGACTATTGATGCATTTATACATTTCTATGTATATGCATTTATACATTTATATTTCTATACATTTTTAATTTCTATACTATTGATTCTCATGCTTTGATTTCCTCCATAATAATTAGTGCAAAGATAACTCTGATATGCCTCGTTGCTGTGGTAATGTTGGTGAGAGACTCTCACCTATTTTTGATTCGTGGGAGCCCCATGAGAAGCGGAACCTTTTTGCTTCAATTCTCTCAGGACTTCTGGTGAGTAGCCATTATACTTATCCCAATTTGCTGCTACCTGTGCCCTCATTAACTGAATATTAAAGGAATGCCAGAAATATTCAACACCTTGAAAATTTGTTGAGGCTTAATTGTTGTGGATTAGAGGTAATGTTGGCTTGTGCCTTCATATAGATGCCATTTTACGTGTATTTGCAAGGTACTTCTTCATTAGGAGCTTGATTTATTTCTCAAATGCCATTGAAATATGAATGTTTAGCATGTTGGATGCAATATAATTTATATGATATATATATAGATATATCTCACACTCACGTGCAGGATGTTTATTATAATAAATGTAATATATATATATATTTAATTGAACCCCAAAAGTTGATATTATTGACATTTTTATCGCACTGTGTTGATAATGAAATATAAAGGTTTGAAATGATAGAAAATGTGTTTAATTATTGTATTTGAATACCAGAAAAGTATGTTTATTATTTTAATCTGGAAGGTTGCATTGGAACCCAAGCCGAATCACACCGGCAGGCAGTTGGCAGTTTTGGGAACCTCATTCAACATGTTGAGCATGTTAGATTTTTACTTGATTTGAATTTTATTTACCTAATTAACTGGAAATTAATTTGAACAAGTGTAATATGGTATATTATAAAAACTTTTGAACAAATTAGGAAAATTTTGAATTTTTCTCAATCTGCGCCAAATGTTTCATGTGAGAATTCATTCCCATTTTTATATTTCCATCACAGCCATGAATTAATATGAATGCCTGTGTATGTACAGTTCTCAGTTGGCTGGTGGATCATCATTGATGCTGCAGCTAAGTACCCTCATGAGAGCGAAATGAAGCATGCCTATCATGCCTGTGGTGTCATGGCTACCATTGCCATGTTCATGTGAGACTCACCCTCAACTTAATTCTTTCAAGTTTAAATTACACATTATGAATAGCTTTTTCTCTATCTATATTACTCTTTAACATCTGTCTCCCAATATTATTTTCCTATGCAGTATTGCTGAAATAATACCCAGGTAGGTTGCTTATATTGGAAATTAAATATTTTGTTAGACTGAAGTATTTTAATGAACATCAACATCAACTCCATAATATGTGGTTACTGAATAGAATAATTTTTATCTGAGTTATTGTTGTAAAATTTAAGTTTGGAAAATTAACAAATAAATATGATACAACAATATTTCTTGCATCAATAAACAGCCTGACTACGCAAAAAAGAGTGAATAACACACAAATATTTGTTTACAGGATCAACACGGTTAGCAATGCTCAGGTGCGAGGTGACGGCCATGAGGGAGGCTGCCTGGGCAGCTATGGCGCCAGAATTTGGCTATTCCTTGGCCTGATGATCAGCTTTGGTTCACTCATCGGCTCCTGCTGGATCCTGTTTGATGGTTATGTTGTTGCCGGTTAGTTGAGTTCTCATTGTGTTTAGCATTATTTATTTTTGAAACCTTTTATTTTTGGCAAATAAAAGATTAATATATTTCCAGGCTTCTGACTATGATTCTTGAATTACAATTTCTTATTATTGTCATGCATTTTTGTTTATTTCAAAGGACTTTCCTTGTATTTTTGACTGAAAAATATGATATTTAAAGGAGCATAATTTGAATCGTCTTTCTCCTAAGAGACTTCTATATTAAATAAAACAATTTTGCCCATTGACCCTGATTAAATTGAATTAAAACAATTTCTTGCTCAATGCATCCTTTATAGGTAGATAATTTTAGGTCTATTTCTTGCCTCTTAAATTGCTTTTAATGTAAAAAATTTCATTAGAAATTTATAAACTTACTTGCAGATGCACACAGGCTTTCACTAAATATATATATACTTCATCAATTGTAATCCCAAATAAATTTTCATCCATCAACCATGTCATCCCAAATCATATATAATAGTAATCGCTTCTGTGTTATTTGAAATTGAATGCTGTTTTTTTCATTATATAGGAATAATTTATTTCACTATTTTGTTTAGATTGAATGAATATAGGTATTTTTTTTCTGGTGAAATGAGTTTACAGTGTTCATGAAAAAATTATTTGGTAAATTTTGCAATTTGCTGCAGGTTTCACGCCAGTGTACCCTGGTGTTGCTGTGTTCCTGCAGAATCTTTTCATCTTCTTCTCGTCAGTGATGTACAAGTTCGGGAGAGTCGAGGACACCAACACCTGGGGATGAGCCAATCCTGTCTGAACGCTCCATCACTATTAGCTCCACTTAACTATTCCCTTTAAGTAACTATTGATATTTTCATGTCTTCATACCCTACTACCCTCAACCTTACCTTCCCATAATATGGTAACCTCAACCTTCACTTCAGAAGTATACTATAATTTTTGATTGAATTGATTTGTGACACATAGTCCCATGTCCAATTATTGATGAGAATGAGATTATAAAATGTAGCTTAGCGGAAAATCATTGATCATTATTGTTAGTCTTACAAGTAACTGAATTACAATAGTACACCCTTAATCAAGCACACGGGAGCGTTCAGCCAATTTCAGCATTACAATACTTGATGAAATCACTTGAATTTAGATGCTAGTGGACTATCAAACTAAACATTCAGGTTCCTTTATGGCTTTTTGCGATGCAATTCTTTTTGAGTGTTCAGGCTTGTACATAAATTTAATATTTTAAAATGGGACAAACCAAGTCAAGACTACAAACAGAGTGTGGACTTTCAAGAGTATTTTCTGCTTGTCCTTAAAAAGGAAAAATTCTCGCAGTGACTTGTATTCTACCAGCTTTGATTATTGGATGCTTCTATTACCGTATCTCACTCTGAACTTTAGTCTTGGCGTTTTCCAAGCCACATTCTAACTCTATTTCCGATGAGTCTTTGATCAATTTGCTGAAAATGGAAACAAAACAGCTAATTCTTTATTTAGAATTATTCTTCCTAAATGTTTGTTGTCAATTTGAAGTATTCAATTCTCCGCTTATTTTGAAAGCATGCGTGCGTCCGATTAGTTGTCATTTCGTAGCTGAGTGACAAAAATGTAACGCGGTTCTTGATTGATCGGCAGAATTTGGTAAATGTTACAACTTCTGAATGTGTTTTATCAGATTTCTAATTTTCTTACTTGCCTTCACCATTAGCAGCTCAAGTTGCTGAATTTTTTTTTTGTACATATGGCTTAACTCAATTACTTGATTTTGATGGGTTCGTTTTTGGTACACCACAATCAAGTAATGAATTTCATATTTATTCTTCATTGTTAACATAGATGCTCATTTAGGCACTTCAGTTGCGCTACTGCGGCATCATGCAGCAAAATAGAGCAAATTATATTGTGATTTAATTTAAATTTTAATACAGGGAATGGCATTCTTTCTTAAAATGAATTTGTTTTATTTGAAAAGATTTGCGTTTGTGGGATGAAATTTGTAGACCTAATTCATTATATTTACTTCTGATTTTTTAAAGGAATTCTAGAGCCACTCCAGCAGTAAAAGTCTCTTGTGGAAATCTCGTTTGTCACCACGAGTTGCCATATTTTGATGGCAACAAATTTGCGTCAAAATTTTCTGACTGGTAAGGAGTATTTAATGTGTTCGTAGCTTTAACGTATGTTTAAGAACGCTTCTGAGGACCTATATATCCTTACAAATATATATAAGTAATTTAAGTTGGAATGCACGTAAAACATGAATGTGCACTAAAATTGTATCTGTTTCAAGTCAGTAGTAAATTCTCTCTACTGAGATATTGTTGTCTTATGAATCCGGTTTTCATTTTTAGGACGAAATTATTCTTCTTGGCAGTGAATTGGTTTGAATGGAATGTTCAATTGCCAATTTCTCGGGAGAAAAAATACTACTATCTCGCCATACTGAGCGTGGTTCAGGATTGCTTTGATTACATTCAAGAATATTCGTTCTTCTGTAATTATTGTAATTTTACTGATTAATATCGCATTTTGTCCTAAATTCAATTATTGATCAAATCACCTGTCCACTTACGAACATTTTATTTTCCTTGAAGCGTGTTTGGAATTTTGTAGCTATTGGCTCAATTGTTGTAGGTATATTAATTGATATCATTTATTTAGAAAATCATCCAAGGTTTTAAATTGTTGAATTGAGAAACGTTGGTTACTTGTACCTGTACTACAGATGTTAATTGTTGTACCGATAATGCTTCTTTATTTTGATTATGTAAACAATTCCGCTTTTGGCTTGTTATCTCTTTGCTCTTGTCACTTCCACGAGTTTAGATCGGAGTTGCCTGTTGCTCGGGGCCCATACTTTCAAAAAAAGTTAAGAGATCGTAAGTTCTTCAGCCAATCATTGACGGCCTTTCAAGCAAAATCCACCAATCATAGACAAGAAAATAGAGCGTAAGTACTTACGTTCACTTAGCGAGTTTTGAAAGTATGGCCCCAGGAGCTCTGATGCTTATTTAGATATTTTCCCGCGTCTATGCTTGACAGGCAGATTTAATTTGTCGAGTTCGTCAAAACATTTTTGAATGTGACATTGATTTGAAAATGATCATTGGTCGGTTGACTTATTTCAAGTTCAATGTTTTGAGAGGCTTTTTCGAGCTTCTCGGAAGGTTTAGTCGAGTCGTTCTTAGAAAATATATTCACAGTTAACGTCATATCACGCAACTTGCCATCATCTTAACGGTAACACGGAAGTAAGGATTTTTTTTTTGGTTGATATTCTTGAGAAGGAGCGGACGGTTAATTTGTTTTGTGGGGCTGTATGGCAATATCAACAACGAGATATTCTTAATCAGGATTTAAACAAATTCAAGTCAGAAAAAAATGTATTCGGTTACTCGTACTCCTCTGGGGACAACGAACGAATATTAGTTTTTTGTTCACCACGAGTGTCGAGGATTCTCCGAAATTCAAAGCTTATGCCTATGACGGTGGATTTAAACATATTAAACTGATGTATGTTCATAGGAACCGTCCGAAATTGGAGAATGATGGAATAATGTGTAAGAAACAGCCACAAACTTGTCATTGCCCAGAGGAAGCAGAGCCTTTTCTCTGTCGCCACAGTACATGATGTCAATGTCATGTTTCTACGGTACATAGCCAGTCGAATTGTAATAGGTCATTTTTATAGCGTTTGCAGTTATTTTATTGTCGTGACTGTGAAAATGTTTCAGAGCTGCTAGGAAAAAACGGAGTCGTGCACCGAACTGGCAAGCTTAGAACTGTTCTTTTCCCCTGTTAAACGTTTCGAAATTTTTTCCGAGGAAACTGGTTGCGATATTTCTTCCGAGGTAATTTGTTGCGATATTTCTTCTCTACTTCATTCCTTCCCGGATATTTTTTGTATAATATTTGCCATTTTTCAATTAACGCAGTTTCCAAATATAATGGAACGATCATGTATTTCCACCAAGTTGTAATCTATAGTATCCACGGAGTTGTAATCTATATATACGTAGTAATATAGATTTGCACGAATATTGTGAAGCAAGCCTCGTGACTTGTGTATAAGAATACTTGTGTTTAATTTCCACATTATGCTGAATAATACTGAAACCGCTTGTGTTAGTTGAATTCTGTGATCATTTGAGGTGCAGCTCACTGAAGGTGTGGAAGATGAGAAGAAAACGCAGCAATATATTTCTCAACAAAAATCAACTAATGTTGAACTTGAAAGATGCACGTGCAATAATTATGTGGAAATGGTAACAAATGAGGAACGGTGTCGGAATCTCTTAAGGTAAAACGTTAAAAAATATATTAATAAAATAAATTTAGTGGGAATAAATTCTGACGTCATAAGTGGAAAAGTCGTGCAAAAATATGATAACGAGCGCCCACGAAGTAGAACTGGCGTATTTGTGGAATAAAAATTGACATTCTGAAAATTGGTTGCCGAAACTTTTTGTTACCTAATGGGTTGACCCGATCAGTTGAAAGGTTCATCTTTTGCAATTACCGTGAGCTGAATTTCACCGTCTCGGTGCCACATTATCAGTAAAAATTACTTCTGAAACTAATTGCTTGCACATCTGTGATCTGAAGAACCGTATCCACGTTACGCTTTTCGCCCTCATGTATCTCATCCATCGAATAACTTTTTGATGTGACTTCAATCTGGAAATTCGACGATGCACCATCATAAGCATTCCTGTCTGGAGGGCAAAGGGAATTTCGACCAGCGAACCGAGGCCCCGTACCTTCCTCGCTGTCCACATGGCTGTGTGTGTCTGACTCCGCCAGATGTTGCCCATGAATCTTCGCCGGAAAATACGCAAGATACAGAACGAGTAAATTTGTCCGTGTCTGGACGGCGCTCTTTGGAGGATAGAGTTTATGGAACGGCATCGCAGAAATCAAACAAGAATTTTGCTGAAGAAGATACGATGGAAGTGGTTCCTCTAATTTCTGAGCACTCAAGACATGAAGGGGATAGTGTTGAAAGTCTTTTGAAAATGGCAGAGGGAAGTGAAAACTGGCATAGAATGCAATCTGGGAGTAAATACGGTCAACATTCGGGAATTATAAGGTCAAATAGTCAAGATCTTTTAAAGTAGCTCCGAGATTAAGTGGAATTTCTTGAAAAAGTTGCTTCAACACACCTGACTAAATCTGTGTCAAATGAAGTCTAAACGGATTTTAGTTCCCACAGACCGCGAGGATCTTCTGAAAAGTATTTCCCGCCTCCAGAAACGAACAGCCAGAATGTTTCAACAAAGCTGCGCCCCGCGGAGCAGCTTAGACCCATGCCTGAAAAGCCATCCAACGAACGAACAAATTTGACTGGGTAAACCGAGCCCGGTCACCCTCATTTTGATTACCAAACGAAGTCTCAACTGACGGGTTTTCATAAGAAAACGATCCAAGCATCTGGAGAAGCGTAAGCACGCTCCAACGAGAGATAAATCTTTCCTTACAATCCAGCGGAAGAAATCGAAGATACAGTCCGTGATGACCAGCTTCATGGGACGCATACTAACGGAATTACGCAGGTAGAGCCAAAGCATGAACAGCAATAGATTTTTGGGCCATAAAATCCTGAAAGACAATAGAGTTCACACTCGACTACAAACGAGAGAGAATAAGATCGATCAACCAAGTCGTCGAAACTCAAAACTGTAACGTTTGGCATCACTGGCTCGAGTCCTTCCCTTGACCGCCGTGTCCGGGAGTCGGGGTCAAGTAGAACGGCTTCACACCTGCGCCTGAGGTCTCAATCTCAACCAGATCTTCAGAGATCTTCAGGTAAATCGCTTTCGTCACTGATTTCCAAGCATCAAAGATAATTGGAGCGAAGGAAGATGTTACACTCCAGCCACAGCGAAAGTGGTCGAGGAAACTCTTCACGTTAATTGGTTCCTGGAACGTCTTCTGGATCAGTCAAGACTAGAACTAGAGAGTCCTCAAACGCCACTCAAATTTATGACAATTCTCAAAGCAGCGCGCACCGATCGAAACCATCGTAAGATACAGAACTTACGTCGAGCTAGACGAAACGAATTTTTATTCCTACCAGGCCTAAAAGCTCTGAGGGTAGTAGGTCTGGTTCAGGGATTGCTCTCGATGGCTTTCTTGTGCCACTCGCGTTGACGAATGGAGATTGCGGGTACGTCCTGGCGGAGAAAATGTGTGTGCACTTATCCGGCCGCATACAGTGCGCTTGTGCCATGGCAGTGTCAGGAGAAACAACATCGTATCCTTCCGTTAACAGCTTGACTAACAGGAGCAGCGGCCGCAGTATCGGCAGATGTTGCGCCGGAAGTTGCATGTGTCACGTGTTGATGGGCACTGAACAGCACGAGTGCTTCTGCGAACACTCTTGAACTAATATTACGCGAGTTGCACGGCCTAATAATTAACAATGAGAATGGAAAAAATGTCCTTATTTTGTATGTCAGCTGTATCTTGTTAGTAAATTTTATACCCTTATTATTTTGTTCACTATAAATTAGCATAGCGAATCTGAAGTTCATAAAATTTCCGAAATTTCTTTCATGCCATTGAGATTTTGTTCATTTCAGTGTTTTAGTATTGTAGTTAAATTTTTTTAAATGCAGGCTATGGTTCCTCTCCTAATAAAATTGTTCACAAAGCGTGAATAGTTGTGTTGAATAAGATTTGAAAGATCAAGTTAAAATACATGAATTTCAGTCGAGTGCTCACTTTATTTTTACATTAGATCGTGTACACATCAGTTTCAAAATAGATATGTAGTACAAAGATTATGGATAATAGAAGTCTATGAGATAAAACAAGATCACCATCACAGAATAGTCTACACAACAACGTCTTCTAATTTTAATGCTTATCTACTACGTCAATACACATGTACGTCCGTATAAATAGTTCATGGAGCCAAGTTATTTAACAAGAACCAGGAACGTTCGCGCGATTGTTTCAAAAGAGTTTTACAGTCATTCTGCAACCGCACAAAGAAAACAAATGAATCATAAATAGTTTCTAAATTATTATACAGTCGTTCCTGAAATTTTTAGTTTAGTAGCCACATGTTTACTAGTGCTTCAGCTATTTAGCTACCTCGCGCTGAAAGTCAAGATGAACATCACCAACGAGATGGAAGGTCTCAATTATTGAGAGTTTTTTGGATCAACGTTCACCCACATGGGGCGGAAAGTTGCAATTATTGTCCAGCCCTCTGAAGCTGGCACGAAGAAAGCAGCGTTAGCATCTCAAAGAGACGAAGTGACACGGAGGGACAAGTGACATGGGGGGACAGGTGAAAAGCAACGGAAACTAAGACACTCAAACTAGAGGTCGCTTACACGGGACGTCGGCCGCCCGCACGAGAGAGACAAAGAAGGGAAATGTAAGGAATCCTACCTACATAATAACTTAATGCAAGGAATCCTATCAACAAATAACTTAACCCCATAACTGAGACCCGCAGTGAGACACACCGAGCTCAGCGGTGAGGCGCTCAGGAACAATCCCCACAGGAGCGCGAAGTCCCATAGGACTCCTGACGAGCACAGGCACACGTCAGAAGTTTCTGCAATAAATAAGTAACAAGAAGTACAATTTTTTTAATTGGATTTAAGACTTGTGGGAGCAGAAGCACCTCCGAGCCTGATCTCAGTTAAAGAAGAAGTACAATGCTTCAATTATCCACTCTTCATAATAACAGAAAAAGTAAATAAGGCAAACAATTTTTTTTCACAATAAATACTCGTATACCAGAACGATTCCAAAAGTTTTACATATAGTAGTATTTTTTAATGAAAAACTTGATCTATCATTTTTCTTCTGCTCATTTCATTCTGTTAAGCAACCACGTGCAAAATCGATAGTAGACATAAATGATTTTCACACAAAATACAGGTTTCCGAGATTGGTATCGGTGTTTGATGAAGTTTTTTCTTGAAACAAAGAGTGCAATGGGCTTTCTGAAGTTTAAGGAGCCTAATGTCTTGTAGGATCAGTAGGCCCTGCATGCTCGGCTAAGGATGACCAGCAAACGCTCATGTCGGTCGTCTTCGGAAACAAAAAACTAATGAAGAACTTCGAACGAGGAAACTTACGCCAACATCCGGACATTCGAGTCGGTCGTTCAGTGAATTGATTCTATCTTCTTGGAATGTTCGGGTAATAAGTAGACACCAGAATGGTTAGGGATGTACAGTAGCCTGAAGGCAAAATAACCGACCTGGGACTGTTAATATAAACTTTACAAAACGTCAATTTATTTATTCTGCCATCATTCTTGGTATGGGTCAAATCCTGCATGATATCATTTCATCAAGTTATTTCACCGCTGAAAAATGTGTACAACAAACGATGACAACATGTAAAGGAAGGAACTTATGGAAGAAAGGACACTAACTTGATTTTTTTTTTCGGAATTATGAGATTCCAACTATAAATAAGATCACCCATAGTCACTAACAGGAGTCAATCGCAGATGCATTCAAATGAAACGAGGAAAGCAAAAATAAGGTAGGATCGTGAGAAGTTAGGAGATTAAATCACTCGCGGAAATGAAGAAGCAAGCTTAAATGAATCGTTTTAATTTAGACAGGCTGGAGCTTTGGGCTGCTCATGCTGCAGCTCTTTTTGGTCTTACAATCATATACATACAATTCGATTACGGGCGAAAATAACATGGGCAATCAACGAACCATTTTATTTAATATCTATAGAAATAGTGGTAGCCATTGAGGGTTGGATCAACTTCGTTCGAGGAATGGAAGGGATAGAACGAATTTATCTAAAATTAAGTCTATTCGAACGAGCGAAATGTACTGTATGGTGGGTAGAGAGATATTAAATAAATTAATTTTTTTTTAATTTTGATGTGAGAATAAAAGCCCGATTATGTCCACCGCCGAATGTACGTGTCATATTAAATTCGTCTGGATTGCGGTTATAAGTCCGATGTTTACACTCAGCAACGAACCTAATGTCGGATTGTGTTTCACTAGCAAGAGATACCGAGTAAGACAAGCCTATTATATCAAACGTACACAATTGTTATCTCCTAGTAACAGCACAGACTCGACATCAACTAGTCGTAGTCGTATCTCCTAGTAACAGCTCAGACTCGACATCAACTAGTCGTTGTCGTATCTCCACTAACAGCACAGACTCGACATCAACTAGTCGTAGTCTTATCTCCTACTAACAGCTCAGACTCGACATCAACTAGTCGTAGTCTTATCTCCTACAAACAGCTCAGACTCGACATCAACTAGTCGTAGACACATCCTACAAGTCACGGCCCTGGAATGATGACTTCGACCTAATCCTGGGAAGCGCGAAGCCTGCGTGGGGCGACATGTATAAAAATACTCGACTTATTAAGCATGCATTTGGTTGTTGCCTACTACAAATAGAATGAATTCAGTAAATAATTTTACTTGTGTACGGGTTAATTGAAAGAATTCTGATTGTGATGTCAGGTTCTCAAATTTGTCTTGTAGCTAAAAATGAATCAGATGAACATAATCAGTTTATTTCGTATGATTTGAAATTAAATTCAATATACTTTGCTGAATTGGTCTGATATAAAAGTTATTCGTCCTTAATCATTAAATTCAGCATTCATTGCTGCGGTGAGGTCTGATACTGAATTCTATCATCCTTAATCATTAAATTCAGCATTCATTGCTGCGATGAGGTCTGATACTGAATTCTATCATCCTTAATCATCTACGAAAGACGAGCGTGCGCAATTTTTTGCCCAGTAACAAGGGTCTGTTCTAAACAGTTAATACATTCATGTCTGACCGGGGCATTCTACATTAGTTATAGGTTCAACAAGGCGGTAATGCATTTTATGAATATAACCTTAATTTAATATTTCTATAATTGAATATATAAATTCGAGAAAGTCTGAACAAAAAAGCTCAAATTTAGATTATCAAAATAAGCCTATTAATTAAAGAACAATAAGATCTCACGATAGGTGAGGGGAAAAGTATTGATATAAAAAAATTTACAGCAATTTATAATAATTCACGGTAAATATTAAATTCACTATTTTAACAAACGTGTAGCTGCTGGTCATAAGTGAAGACAATTTTTCTGATATTCTTATTAATTTTACTTTTCCAGTTTTGTTTACTTCAGAAATAATCTAATCAAAATATTAAAATCAACCCCATTCTACAAGCTCACGTTCTGTTTATTCAACATTAGCATACATCAACCAGCAGATTAATTCTTAGCAGTTTCTTAATAATTAAAAATCATTCACCGTGATTTAAAACAAAAAATAAATGATTCTACAATTTAAAGACCAACATAGAATTTACAAATAGGGAATAACCTTGAACCAAATTATTGATACATCGTCTTCCTTTTGAATAATGAACACAGAGAAAAAACCTAGACCCTTGGCATGATGCGATTCAACTCTTGATAAAGTATTATTCCAGGCGTTATCATGTTTAACAACCATCATTCCATCAAGTATCTTCACGTTGAGAAAAATTACAACCATTTGATGAAGGGAGTTCGACCTTTCCTTCATTAATTAGCTTGCATCATCACATTCAGTAAAAAAATTACCACCTACAGGTTAAATTAGTTTGCTACTTCGCTGCCTCTCAGTAACTACCTTCGGATATCACATTCTACAATCACCATCATCTGATAATAAAATTTCTGCTATATTGCTGTCCCTCATCATTTGTCCCCTCATGGAAGCAGTTTAAAACAATGTACGCAACCGCGACGACATGGGTGAACTATATTAAGTTGACCCACTCTACAAAAACTTTCGAAATTGTTCTGCGCATCTTCACTGTAACGTCATATGTGTAGGAAAACCTCAACTAAATGTCGTAAGCTTCGTCAAAAACGTGTTAAAGTGTCTGTTTTGATCTACTTTAAAAAAACTGACCTCTGTAAATTAAAATAAAAATTGTCCATAACTGCAATAAGTCACAAGACTTGGGCTGCTTAACCATGCCAGCGTCAGAAAACAATACTGTCTTCAACAAATGTTGAAATTGTTTTATGTAAAATGTTTGAAAAAATATGAGGTTAGCGAAATGAAGGAGAGCGTTATCATTGACACTCATTCTGAAGGTAAATAAACCTGATGTTGCTTAACATGTTAATGATTTCACACGAGTAAAATATAAAATGTAATAAAATTATATATCGGGAAATTCATTACTAGTAACGCCTGTGGATTACTGACAATGAGATTAATTTCACATGCGTAGTTACAGGAAAATACTGACAAAATTATTGCCAGTATTATATCTAAACAGGATGTTTTGTATGTAATTATTCAAAACAATACACCAATAACCTGCAATTTCGTCCATATAGACGCTGAAGAAATGTTAAATTTTTCATCCGTAGTTTTTGGAATTGTAAAACATTGATGCTTAGCTTCCCTGGTGTTGAATATAAGGCAAAAATAGTTGAAAAAATCTAAACGATGCATAAATGTTTATCCTTAGCAATATTAATCTCAAAATTTCTCTAGAAAATAGTTTGAATTATATACCTTGATCCAATTAAAATAGTTGGAATTAGATGATAATATTTTTAGAACGATTCCTTATCCCGTAATGAACTCAAGCGCAACATAAACGGTGCCGATATATTTCGTTGACGTGTAGAAGTTCCAGCATATTGTTATGCATAAAAATCTTATAACAATACAATACAGATATAAACTTTAAATAAACTTCAATAAAGTGAACACAGTCGCTTAACATCACCTCAAGGTTTTCCCACTTTAATTTTATGTAGTCAACGGAACATTACGAACGATAGCGCAACTTGTGCAAGACAGTGGCATTACTAGACTCACCGATAATAATTCAAGCTGAATGACAGCAAACTTCGTGAGAACTTTACAACAAGGAACCTTATGATAGATATTGAAATATTTGAATGAAGAATAAATAATAATAAAGCCGACCAAAGCTACAAAAAAAGTTACAATGCTTTAGCTTTAGGTCCCGACTCGAGACTCGTCACTCAGAGAAATAAGTAAGATTAAGTTCAATTTACCACGGGGGATTTATCAGCAAAATGGCCGTAAGATATAACAATTTTATCGTACAGTAAGTTTGTAACCGTTAAGAAACACAGTTTCACTTATATATATATATATATTATATATATTATAAATATATTATATATTAGGCAGAATTAAAAGTCATCTTTCGAATTAAACTTGTATCATACGTCAGCAACAAAACTGAACATTTTGTTCTGGGAATGTGTAGTCATTCCGTACCCTTTTCTCACATGAAAAATTCAATTCAATATAATAGAATAGAAACGATGCATTAACTTTTCAGTGAATGAAATGGAACAGGCGTAACATTGGATTAAAAATGCAGCAGAGACGGCGAAGACGCAGCAGTTGGCAAGGTTGGAGAATAGAGTTGAGAGGCTTATAAGAAAGTCAATGAATATAGGATCAAAATAATTTATGTTCAAAGTTATGTCAGTTTTAGTTTCACAGGGAGCTGAATGCTATAAACAAGATTCAGAACTTAAAGCTAAGTGATATCTGTATGATCTGTCCAGTTAAATAAAAATAAGCCGATGCTGAAGACAACAAGAAATATATTTATTTTAAATGAGAACTGAAATAATCTTATGTCATTGCACTTAATAATGTCGAATGGATTTAATTAGTCGCATAGACGTTAAGTTCTTAATAAAAGAATAAAACTAATCACTGAATATCAGTGAGACGGAAAAACTGGATAAGTTCTACGAGTGATGTAGTGGATAGTCCCGCTAGAGAGTCCCAAAGATGTTCATGCTGTGAACGACTTCTTTATTCTGAAAAAAGTAAGAATAACGGTATTAGTTTCTTTTCACAGGACCTCATGTGTTCCCATTAAGGGGAGCGTCTAGGGTAAAATTTATCTCGGCTATTTACAAACGGATCACTCTGAAACTTGGTACACATATGTAAAATAGAATTCTAAGACATTTTTGTTCGTGTAAATTTTTCGAAAAAAAATGAAAGAAAACGTGAAATTCTTAGAAAACGGCCAAAAAAGGGGGGACCGTAGAAATCTATCTCCTCCTAGGATTTTCAAGCTACAACATTGAGACACATATCATTCGATGCGTAAAGACCATATCTAAAACGCAACACGAGGGTTTTTAGGATTTCTCATTTTTGTGGGTGTGGGAGCATTTTTCGTAAATTTTTCGAAAATTTTTCAATTTCCCCCCCCCCCCGCGACCCCCCCTTTTGCGGAATAAAATCCAAACTATAACGAAATTAGAAAAACGCCGGTATTACGTTCTAGATAATTTTGTTGCGCATCGAATGGTATATGTCTCATTGTTGTAGCTTAAAAACTCTAGGAGGAGATAGGTTTGCAGTGACAATAAGTTAACTTTTCAGTAGAGCCCGTCAAAGTCCCGCGCGCATCGGAATAGGCACTCAATGTAGCAAGGATACAAAACTAAACGTTACTGGAGCTTGATTCCAGTCAAGGATGGTGGGAGCGACTGCATGCACACCTCCTCATACGACGCCAGGCGGGTAACTAAGGTGCACTTCAAGCAGACACTCTATTTAAAGTGCTCGCAGCGAATTTCCTCCCATTCTATTTGTTAAAGAACTACCCCTCCCCCCTCCCTTTCATGATCTGTCGTGAACGCATAAATCAACGTACAGAGATGGTTTTGGTACCGTTGGATAGATCAGAATGTCAGCTTTAAGATGAGACTAAAAACCGGAAAAGCCGAAATCCAAAATTTTACCCTAGACGCTCCCCTTAAACTTTAATATAAATAATCAATTTGTTGTCATTGTCCCAGTGCACGCAGGTGTTCGCACCCACAAAACACAACTGATCCCTGACCATGGAGCAACCCTGACCGCTGCCAAATAGCATTTCAATAATAAAATTATTCTTCAATAATAGAATTGTACCCATTAGTTTGAGATAATAATTGAAGTTGGCATAAGCTTATTACCCCTGGTGTATGATCCACATAATATCCTCCTTAACGGTCGCTCAAACAGTAATACAATGAAAGAGAACCAAATATGATGAGATATAACTTAAATGGATTTTTTGTCAATTTAAGACTGAATAATTTCTTAGAAAAAATAAGTAAAAATCGTTACCTTTGAGCAGTATTCCATAAATTCATCCATGGTTACCACGCCATCCTTGTTCAAATCAAGCTTCTGTTGGTGGAAAAATTGCACAATTAAAACTGTCCGAAATTCACACCTGAAAATCAAATTTCCAAAAAGTGGATTACATGCGCAAGTGAATAGCAGATTTACGATAAATTTCCTTTAGAAAACCTGCATATAAACAAGCACTTATAAAGAGTTTGTTCCATTACACAAGTCAAATAGCAATTTTAAGGAGGCTAAAAAGATTAATATGAGATTTTTGATTCACATTCTCACATCAAATATCTTGTCGACGTGGTTGATGGCTGTCGAGTCATCGATTCTGGGCACCGTCTGGTCCGACATCAAGTCGTATATTGATGACACGACATCAATAAGCTCGTCGCGGGTGATGCGTCCATCGTTGTTGATGTCATAAAGACTGTAGGAAAATTATTCATTTTTTCTAGGGAATCCTGAATTTGAATGAAAAGTTTGTGATGAGCTCGGGTAAAATACTGTAATTAGAAGAATCAATTAAAATAGTGGAGATCTAAATTCCAGCGATGAGGTATGTGCTTGTCTGATTCAAATTAAATTAAAAAAATATCTTAAATTAATACTGGTTGGCCTAGTGATTACAGTCCAGAGCACCAAGATTGGAGCAGTGAAGTCGTGGGCTCGATCCCAGCTACCTGTGACAGTTCTGGTTAAACCAGTGAGGTGGCAGCTAGGTGGTTAAGCACAGTAAAATTAGAGCAGTGAGTTGCGTGTTCGAGGAAGGCTAAAAGATGTGAAAATTCTGCGATGTTCAGAATCAGCGACAGGCCTAATTTGTAACAGCGACCGCAGTTACAAATTAATATATTAATAATACTGTACTTTATTAGTCGTTGGATGTTTTGCTCTGTTGAGTAAATCAGCATTAATAAGCGAAATGTTCCATTTGACAAACAACTTACAAATATTTTATGTGACATGAAGGCGTTATGCACAAGGAAGGTGCACTTGCATACCAGAAATGAAATCTACAGTCTACACTATGAAAAATTAATGGGTCATATTTTCCAAATAGTGGCACACTTTATGCACGTAGCATTGATAAGCAATTTTTGCTGTGCCAAACTGGGTCAAGATGATAAAAAAAAAGCATCGCGTTTTGGACAAAGCCTAAGTATATGTCAACGCTTCCGTTGTAATAAAAATCCTGAATATTAGCATTCACAAAATGTAATTATGCTCATAAGGCAGAGGCGTTAGAATATTTTCAGAAACTATCAATGCTGCGCAGAAGTGCAGATTAGGCAAGCGATTATCGTACCAAATAAGAAGACCAATCAGTGAAGTACTAAGCGAGTTTATTAGTACAACAGCATTGGCCAGGTACAGTAGCATTAGCCAGCACATGCCGATTGTGCAAAGTAAATTGCGGTGAAAAAACGACGTTTCATTACTGCATTAGAGCCTACGATGGAGGAGCCTCTTAGCAGAGATTGGGCTCTTGATCTAAGAGCTCATTAACTAGAGCAAAGAGGAGAGCAGTCTTCGCTTCGGCTTCCATTCTTCGCTTCGTGGTCAAACAAATGAAATTGAAAAGCAATAAACCTACTAATGCTTTAGGTTTCAAGATTAGATATAATTGTCAAAGTGTACTGCAATTTTAAATGGGAAGTTTAATAAAGTTATGACATAGGAATATAGATAATGACTTGATGCGGAAAAATGTATGATGAAGAGCAAGTGGAGGACCTGATTCAAGTTATAACATCTGTTTATTCTCCGATGAATTAAACAGATGAATGGGAAACTCCGAGTAAACTTGGGAGTTATTATTTAGCGTCATTGTATTACAATGATCAACAAAATGGAAATTATAATTTTTGCAACTGATCATAAATGAATTACTCAAACTCACATCGAAATGGAAAATGCACAAAGATTTATCAAATGAGGTTGAAGAGTTTTTAGTGGTCTTAAATATTGGTCTTTCTATATTTTATTCCATTTTTATTAGAAAAGACTCAGATAGTCTACTACTTAGGGCACGCACAGACTTTTTGGACCAATTAATTGCTGAACTTACCAAGCAGTTGCAATGTTAGAAAATAAAATGTTTGACGTTTTAACCATCAAATATTCGCTGGGAATCGTCAGGAACGAACTTAAACTTTCACGCCCGAGTTTTAATGCACTGGTATACATGAAATTCTAATGCACATATCTTAGGTTAAACCAACTGAGGAACGACCAACCTCATCTGCTGAATTAAGACTACAATGCCCGATCTTTAGGCCCTGATTTTAGACTCGTCAGTCAGAGAAATAGGCGAGACTTTGTCCAAATAGCGATGCACTTATTACCCTTGTGTGACACATCCAGACCTAGTTTGGCTCGCCAAATCTGTTTCAGTACTGCGTCCGCCCTCTGCTCTTGCTGAGTGCAGGAAAATGTGCTATTATTTTGACAATAAAATCCATTAATTTTTCTGAGTACTCTCTGAGACGTAGTCATTTAATTATACCAGAAATTATCGAAACTTTTGCCTTGCTGAATGTGTGCAGCCGTTTTGGACATTACTTTGATTTATTATTGCTAATCCATTATTTACTTTTTATAGATGCTGAAAGTTTTTTGATCGCATGAAGAAATCTCGTTCCAAATGAACTTAAAGAATCAATTCATTAACACAAAGGCAGTGTAGATATTTTATAGGTTTTTAGAGCGGACGTTTCCTGCCTTCAATAGAGCGAATGTAAATGAGTTAGTGCAACATAATAAATAAGTTAGACGTGTGACGTGCCTAGCAAGAATATAGCAAAATGTCGCTATAATGATAAGTACAATAATAATAATATTAATATGTTCAAAAGCTTTTTATTTTTGCTCCATTTAGATTTTCTTTTATTTATTTAACACAAGCGTTTCGTTAAGATTAAATTGTTTTTATCGCTCTGAGTGAGTTGTCGCGTGACATAGCAGCCGAGAAGCGAAACGCGTTGCAGCGATTAGATTAAAATAAGTTTTTAGTAACGTTAGGCAAACGTAAATAAATTTTAGATTATTCTTTTCATATTATATATACATATTTATTTATTCGTAATATTTGTATTATTTTGATTAATGATTTAGCAGACTGAAAATCAAGCTGTAAAGTGAAAGAGAATAAATGATAGAATTTAAGTGAAAGTGAATAAATTACTTAAGTCATATATGGGTTAGTTTAATAATAATTAATATTTTTAGCTCACTTAAATATCCATGCGACGCGCTCTGCGAGCGAGCCCTTGAGGAGGACCGAGAGCCCCGTGATGAAGTCGCCGAAGGTGATCTGGCCCGTGCCTTCAGGGTCCATGGTCCCGAACACGTAATGGGCGTACATGGCTGTGTCTGGACACGTATAGATATGTTTTAATGGTAATCAATGTGGAGTTATTTTTAAAAAATTCGGTTATAAAGAGATTAATATTGGGACTGGTTTAAAAATATACGAGTTTTCTCGCAAAGCTCCGAACACGTAATGTGCGCAGATAAATTTGCATTATACTGGTAATCAATGTGAAGATATTTTGTAATATTTTATGCCTAAAGTCACACCACAATATAACAATTTGGAGCCAACAATCATGCCGAAATAAAGCAATATTGAGTCAACAATCCCACCGAAATGTAAAAATGGTTAGCCAATAATCGTGCCGCAATATGAAATGCGGTACCAACAATCACACCACAAGATAACAATACAGAGCCAACAATCCCATCTCAATGTAACCATACGGAGCCAACAATTGCATCACAATGTAACCATACGGAGCCAACAATCGTACCACAATATAACATGCGATACCAACAATCACATCACAAGATACGAAGCCAACAATCATACCACAATATGAAATGCGGTACCAACAATCACGACCACAAGATAACAATACGGAGCCAACAATCACATCACAATGTAACCATACGGAGCCAACAATCGTACCACAATATAACATGCGATACCAACAATCACATCACAAGATACGAAGCCAACAATCACTACACACTGTAACCATATGGAGCCAACAGACCACAATATTACAATCATATCACAATACAACAATCAGACCACAAAATAACAATCATGCCACGGCAATCTCTCACTCCTGCCAGAGCCGTCGTCGGTGGTGTTGCCAACAGGGAAGAGTTTGCCGTAGATTCTCTTGAAAGTTTCTTCAGAGATTACCCCGCTTGGACATTCTTGTTTAAAACCTCGGTACCTGTGCAAAAATTTACGGCAATTGATTTTTTTTATATCATTATACATAATTATTTTTTACTTTCTATTGATCGGTGCATTATAAATCTGAGTTATTATTGTTTAAAATACCTTCGAAATTGCGTCTCAATATTTTTTCAAACAAAACGACAGATAACACCGTACAAAAAATATAGAAGCATTTATTTAACAGGAAGACTTTTTTCTACTGAACAGCTTTGCAAAACGTTGAACAATCAAAATAAGGGCTACATAATATCCATAATTTAATTATCATCTATACACAAAAAAATTATTTCCATAGAATTGCAGACCAGTGTCACAGTTCAATTCACGTTTCAATGCTAGATAAATAAACTAAATGGAGACTAGAAGCTGGCACAGTTTAACCTATGGAGCGTGAAATGAAAATGCCGAAACTCGGATATTTGGAGCGCCTTCAGTTCCGGAACTGTGACTCGATTTTAAAAATAATGAGAACCTGAGATGAGTATCATCATTAATAATGACGGGACCCTCAAGAAGGTTCCAGCTGTAGCTCAGATCCGAGTTTTTAATTGAAGAACATTTACAGGCACGCGCTGGGACACTGGAAGGCTGTAGTGAATATTCACTTGGCATAAGGTTGTGGAGAATGCTCTTTTGGAGCCTTGAATTGCAACATGGTCTTGCAGCATGATGCTATGTAGCTCTTTTTTTGCAAAAATATACTTGAATCATGGTCTTGCATCATGATGCTTTGTAGCTCTGGTTTACAGCACGATTCTTTGTAGCCCCCGGCTTACAGCATTTTGCTTCGCACAGTTTTGCAGCAAGATGATTTGCAGATATGATTTTGTTGTATGCTGCTTGCTGTTTGGAGAAGGTTAGCTGTTTGGCGGCACTCCTCTAAAACGAGAGTATCTGTTTGGAGAAGCGTGTGGTGCGATTCAGTGTGAATTGGATCTCCCGTATGGAGCAACGTGCGGCGAGCCTCAGGAGTTCCAGTTTGGAGAACTGTCTTGCACACTCATATGAACTGGAGCTCCTGTTTGGAGAAGCGTGTGGTGCCACTCACATGAACTGGAGCTCCTGTTTGGAGAAGCGTGTTGCACCACTCACATGAACTGGAGCTCCTGTTTGGAGAAGCGTGTTGCACCACTCACATGAACTGGAGCTCCTGTTTGGAGAAGCGTGTGGTGCCACTCACATGAACTGGAGCTCCTGTTTGGAGAAGCGTGTGGTGCGGCTGAGTTGGTCGAGGGCCACGGGGCGGTACCGCAGCGGCGACGCCTCGAGGCTCTCCAGCTCGGGATCTGAAGAAAATGTTTGAACTTTGAGAAATAACTTGAGTAATTCCATCAGTATTTAAATTAGGTGAGAGTAAAACTATATAGTATTATATAATATATTTATATGTATAACATAGATAAAATTGAAAATATTAATTTGAAAATGAATATTAATAGAAATATTAGAAATGAAAAAATAATAAAATAAAAAAATGGTAATAGAAAATATTATTATTAGTATTATTAATTACTGATATTATTTAATTTGACATGGTTTGCTCAAGTTTGAGTCAGTAAAAATATTTATGAAGAGTTTGCCAGCGAGGGAACTTCTAGATCCACAGTTCTATGAATTAATTTTTCAAGCTCGTTTCCCAATTTTTCAAAAAAGCATCAAATGAAAGATTTCAGTTGAACAAATTTTTCTAACTAATATATTCCATGAGCATTAATATCTGAAGAGAGTAAATACAGAGGCAGCAGACGCCAAAACTTGAGCGATTTTTTCACCTCCATGGCCAGCTTATTTTAATTATCTTGGAAGAATCCTTTCTAACCCGAGGCATTTCTTACCAGGCCAACATAGACGCACTTGTGCAAATGATGCCCCAAGAAAAGTTTCTCAGGAAAAATTAACGAGATGGAATTTGAGATTTCCGCGCCGGTCTCCAGGTTATGATAAAGTTAAGAGACCAATAAAGCTACTGAAGTTACTAGAGTTCAGAAAATCATGAGATAAATTCGTAAGTTTTCATAAGTACGATGGAAATTGAACTAATGGAAACTTTTCGCTAATCAGTAACTCTTCAAAGACTTGAATAAACGCTATAATGTTTCCTTAAACAATACTGAAGTTGAACAACAAAGAATGCAACTACTCTATCAGCTACGTACGTATATCTCCATTATTCTCAAAAATTGACGTCATATTTGCAGCTTCATTATCATTATAAAGCGGTCAAGACCGGCACGTTCTAAGCCATCCATTGTCAGTTATCCGGCAGCAGGAAGAAACATTTCCACGACGCCTCAGGCGTCAACGTACATTTTTTCCTGTACGGAAACAATCTAAACTTCCCGAATGATTAGCAACTTGCAGCGCGGAGAGATTTTTCATCCAACTCCGACAAATCCCTAAGAATTTACGGAATCTAGCGCCTGGTTTTATGGCCGTTCTAAATCATAAAACAAAAGTGGGCAAAGCTAGGGGACAAAAAAATTCTGTTTACAACATGGCCGACAATATCGATGACACTGACACTAAACTTGGTTCTTATCGCGCGCTGCCGATACTGACCAAATTGCAGCTTCATGAGGCTCTTTGTTCAAGTCAGGCTCCACAGATATTGGCAAGCTGGAAAAACTTTTAGAAGCTATAAACACCTAATAAACTTCGCATATTTTGTATTGAATAGTTTTAATGAGATGAACATAATTATTATGATTATTTTATTGCTCGAGGATGGTCATATGAATTTTTACCAATTATCAGAAACCACTCATAGTAATTTTTTGGGATAATAAAACAACCCTTCGACAGGAGGATGAGTCAAAAATATATTTACTATATTAAAAAATCTCGCAGCATACAACAAACACTAGGAAACAATTATTAATGACAACAATTGTATGATTTTCCATTTGCAATGTCAAGCACTTCACGATTATTATTCGTATAAACGTCTCCGAGCATAAACAATAAATCTTTCATGAAAAGATCGTACCTAAACGAAATAAAACTCTACGACCTTCTTTATAAAGCGGATGTTCGCAACGACCAGGACTTCATTAATGAACGGAAAGGGGGAAGTGGTATCGCTGGTCGCAGCACGAGATATCATTTACAGAGAGACGTCAAACAGACGGCAACGGTTCGCGTGATCTCGCTGCGTAAAGGGCATGTCGATGAGCAGAATATGCTGGCTCAGTCCCGGAGTCATTAAGCGTATCAAGCTTCCTCTTTAAAGTGCTTCTCCCTCGAGTTAACGATAAATAAGAAGCGTTACTTAGTGCGTAAAATATCTGTAAAAAGTGTCGAAAATTATGTTTCTTTGTGTTTTTATTTGGGTTATATACGCATGGCGTTGTGAATATATGCGTTTGCGCATCTACGATATTCATCTTGTCTGGATATTAACTTAACACAATTTTCCATTATAATCAATCTCCGAGATCGCTAGACGTTGGAAACAAATGAGGAAATAGGATTGAAAAGTTGAATTAGATATTTACTTCTGGAAATTTATTTTGCAACAAGAACTAGTTAGGTTTAAAGTAAGATAAGGAGATGGGAAAGAAAAGCTTGATGTGGACCAGCTCAGGTATTGCATTTATTAAAATTTATCCAATTTAACAACTTATTAGAGTCTCGTGGGAACAAAATTATTTGTATGTGATAGGATGGAAACTGGATTAGCGAGAACAGGATTAAGGAGAAATGAATTAAATGAAACGGGATTATTGGAAATAAAATTAGGTGAAACGCGATTAAATAAAACAGGATCAGGTAAAGAGGCAAAATAAGGCAGCAGACGTACGCCACCTAGCGACGGATGAGCGAAACTCGGCGGCCTTTGTTCATAAAAACCAAGCATGTCGCGTCGAATTCTAAGTCACGATTTTTTTTTCGCAATTTTCCGTCGACTTCCGAATATTTTCCTCTTGCGTCAGTATTTTGCGTCGACTACCGATAATGCCGAGTTCTGAATTGTTCGACTTCCAGGTTGGAATTGCACCATACAAGTAGCAAAACACGCGTTGCTGGGAAAATATAGCATAATGTAATATAGTATAATATAATATAATATAATATAATATAATATGATATAATATAATATAATATAATATGATATAATATAATATAATATAATAAACGAGAATCCATTTCTTCTTTATTCAGTTGACCTTCTAAAAGTAAGTTAGGGGAAGATATGTTCCACGCCCGTTAATTCAGCAATTAACTCCTCTATCGCTACTGTTTTGAAATGTTACATATTTCATCATTCAATTTCTTAGTTCCACTCATGAAATCTTTCAAAAAAACACTTGTTGCCAATGTCTTGCTTTAATATAAAAAATTCAAAATAATAGTTTAAACTCAATTATTGAAGAAAATATATAACTTTTCTCTGACGAAATCTAGTCCGACATTCACTGCATTCACTGCCGCATTCATATTATCTTTCTTCCACTTATTGGTAATAAGGAACATAACGCAGTCGAATTCAACGGTAACAATGTATTATTTTCATCCTTACTAACAAAATTAGGACGAATAACTCGAATATTTAAACTATTTGTTTTTGTTTTACAAATATCAAAATATTCAAATATATGGACAAATATTTTGAATATTTAAATTTCTTGGAACAGCGGGCGATTCGGCCTTCTCCGATCGAATGAATTCATTCTGCGGCCACAAAATTCATATCAGATATTCATCGATCATCCCACAGCTTTCGCCGTCGTAAAGCCCAGGTATATCGGAGAAATGATTACCTAAATCCGATGCACTGCATTTGATGGTCCATAGGTTGAACCAACATAGGGAATATTACTGTGGAATTATCGTAAAATTGATTAATATATCATGCATAAATTGAAAAATGTTGGACAATTTTTTTCTGTTTTTCGATGGGACATTTTGGAAACAGGTCATGAAAATTTCATGTAAAATAAAAATTACCAGATTTTTTGCTGCAGCTAGATGAACAAATTTATCTAGCAGGTTAATTTAATTTCACTATGAACAGATAATTTTTATGCAAGAGGTAAAAATATCACAGATAAGTCATAAATATTTGATATAAAAAAGTAAAAAAGAGTGTGAGGTTCTAAATTGATTGATGAATGAATTCACGGAGAACTAACTATTGTCCATCCTCTGTTCCAGAGCCCTCTTAAAAACAAAATACGCTGGCGATGCGAATAATGGCAAAATGAAAGACTGTCGCTGCAATTCACAGTTAAAAACAACGGTTACCTTGACGATAGAAGAAAAAAATCTCTTCACATGCGACAAAGAAGCGTGGTTTTACTCACCCCGAAACTGGGAAAAGGTCTGCACCCATGACGAGAAGACAAAGATTCACTCGCTCCATGACGAGAGAACAAAGCTCCACTCACCCCATGACGAGAAGACCAAAATATATTCACCCCATGACGGGAAGACAAAGATCCACTCCCCCCATTACGAGAAGACATCGATCCACTCACCCCATGACGAGAAAACAAAGATCCACCTCACCAAAGACGAGAAGACAAAAAAATCCACTCACATTAGTAACGGTAAAACAAAGTTCTGTTCGCCGTGACGGGAAAACAAAGCTTTATCACCGTGAGGGGAAAACAAAAGATCCACTCACCCTGGTACGGGAAGAAAAAGCTCCATTTACTCCGTGACGGGAAAACAAAGCTCCATTCACAGTGACAGTAAAACAAAGCTGTCTGGATTAAAAATGAAAAACTATGCTGCTCTCTTAATCCCGACTGATCGAGCATTTGTTTGCGCATGGGAACGACACTTTGAGCATCCTTGATTAAATTCAGGGTTCGCATGTGGTTCAAAATTGAGGTATTTGTGATAAATAATTTTTTTATGTGAAATTATTCCAGGTTGTTAATAAGGCTTTATATCAATGGCCTCGACAATAATGAAATGCGCCTCGTCAATGTTCAGTTCACTGGTTTTTATTGAATATTAAAGGTGTACATGCGTCCAGTCAGTTATTGCCTTCGTCTCTTCAGTTGTCTAATTAAGTTTCATGTACAGAAGATTATTACTTGCTATGATTTACAATAAATAAACTTATTTTTAAATCGTAATTCTGATATTATCTCTCATCATTTTCTCTTTCTGATCCAAAATATCTTAATAATTATACATGCAAGTTTCTTAAATTCGAAAGAATTGAACAGAAGCAAGACGGCTCGTGATATTCACATACATGGGTACGTGGAATTCATAGGAGTGCGAAACTTCAATTTGATTTGTAGACATTTTGCCGTTCCTGTCAATGCTGTCA